TCAAGGGTCTGGTAAGGAATTTTTTTTGGGGGGCACACATTTTTTTTGGCATGGGGTCCCCTCTAAAATTCCTACCAGATCTAAAGTGTCTGGAAGGAATTTGGGGGTAGACTGCACACTGTGCTTTTTTTGGTTTATTTTTGGCATGGGATCCTCCTTAAAATTCATACCAGACTGGTAGGAATTTGGGAGGGGGACCCCAGGTTGTTGTTTTTTTTTAGTTTTCACGTTTAACAACATAATAAACTCCATCAAAATAGATTTAAATTGATCCAAAGCGAAAATGAAAAATTTGGATCTATACGAATTCCAAATAACAATCAAACGAATCGATCCAAAACTAAACACATTTTTTGAGCCTTTATATGTCTTCCTGATTGCATCCCTTGACCACCAATGTATCACAAAATTCTCAACTCACCACTAATGTAACAGAGGCATTTACGATGACCACTGCTTTAACAGGAGCATTTGCACTTACCACCAATGACAAGGGGCTTTTGTTAGTTCTGAGCAGCTCTCTATCTATATGCTACCTATATCTGTATGTTACATTGTCTAAACTGTAGCCACAATATGTAAACTGTTTTTTTTTATTATTCTGTCTTTACTGTACTCTACACATCCAATGCAGACTCGAGAAGAGTGGCAATATGTTTTCCTGATTGCATCCCTTGTCCACTATGGTGGTGTCATTTTCTACGGCATCTTTGCTTCAGGAGAAAAGCAGCCATGGGCTGAGCCAGAGGAAACCACTGAAGAGAAATGTGGTTTCATCCACGAAGATGAGCTTGCTGAGGAGAGTGAAGATCAGCCTCAGGGCTACGGTGGTGGCTATGGCAGTTATGGTGCCACCCAGAGCACTAATTTCCCCAATGGCGGCTGGCCAGCAGAATGGGAGAAAAAGGAAGAGTTCATCCAGGACCAGGGCAAGGACCCCTATTTATATGGGACGGCTGCAGAAAGGGACTTGTCTTGAAAATTAAAAAATTATACAAAAGTCTAACTAAAATGACAGCAATGTCTCAACTTCAACTGAGAGTGAGCAAGAATCTAATGAAAGGTGACTAGTGTTGCCAATCCTCCCCACTTCACTTGATTGTGTGGCTTCCTTTTTATTGTTTTAATACATTACTATGTACCATAAAGGGTTAAAGGCAGTGCCTATAGTGCCCCTTCATCAAAATCGCAACTTTTTCTGTGGTGTCCTAGGGCCCATTCTATTTCTGGTATCAGTAATTTGCTTGTTGCTTATGTAGGTTGTCACAAGGCTTGTGTCTTGAAAATGTTTTTCACTTGTTTAAGTGTGTAAGCAATAAGGATGAGTGTATTTTATCATTGATATTGAACACTTAGTTACGAATATATACTTTCTTGTGAGATGTTGTTTATTCATACTTGTTAATGAACCAGAAATGAAATCATGGGCACTGCATTGGCACATCCCTAAACAAGCAAGGCAGAATTGCCCAAATACTTCACGATACAATACTAACATTGCTTTGTTTCTTCTATTTATTTTGTAAAGAGGTTTAATTAAATAAATAGTATATCAATATA